TTCTCTTTGTTCAGACTTTAAATCTTCGATCTTGGGGAATCGTTGCCAACACAGAATGTATGGTGCTTCACTGATTGGCTGGTGCCCGAACTCGCACTTCTGGGGTTCTTGCAAACCTTCTAGTGTATTCCGATTCCTGACCTTGTCACTGGAGAGAAATTAAATTGAGTGGAGGCACTAGATGACACCAGCCTGGCTAATATCAGCCCATGCGATATTTTAATGTGTTTAATGCAGCTTTGCACACATCCGTTTATGTTTTACAGAAATGAAACTTAAAACCACATGGCTCATTTGCATAAACTAAGCTGGAAAAAAACAGCTCACTTCTTGTGCCGTGCGATTGGGGCGAGCACAGAGAAGGCAAACAAGCAAAGCAGGGAAATCAGATTTAAATATTTAAGCATTATATGGATATATATACGATATGTCAGAATCCATTTTGTGTTTAAAAAATATCTCTATACATTAAATATCGAGATATCACTAACCCCTTATATATTTATATTATTGCTTTGACCTCTTGACAGTTAAGTATAAGTTTCAAGTTCAGACTATAAAGCCGTTTTAAAGACCCCCAAAAAATCTGTGAGATGTTGATGTGTTGGTGCACATGAAAATTCAACATTTTACACAAATGAACCTACTTTTCATGATTCAAAATGTTTAAAAAAAAGCGTGATTTAGGAGCATTTAGGGGCAGGGTATGGACGGACCATCTGTCAATCACACCATTTGAAAATGGGGTGACCACATCTTTGTAAACTATTGACTGAAGCATTGACTGATTTTTACTGTCTTAAAAAACGTGACAAACAGAACTAGTCCATTTAAAACCTTACGCATTCTGAGCATTCTAACTATTCACCGCAAAGCGTTTATAAGCACGAAGTTGTACTTTTGGCATAACAATAATGTTAACAACAATTTGCATGATGTTAACCGCACACTTCCTGGTTATTGGACAAAAAAACACTTCATAATCAGATGGCGAAAGTACGCAGCAGACTTATTTTGAACTCAAGAGCAAGACAAATGGGGTACAGCGCCTTTAACATTGTTGGTATGTAGTGACCCATTTAAAGTGGTCTAAATCTCACTCATCACAACCATCAGCGGAGCCTGTGGAGTTTTGAACGAGAGCGAGTCGAGTATGTTTCTCTTGGGTATTCCCGTGGCATCGCTAATCCATGCCCTACTTAAACGCTGTACAATGAATGCCACGGCCCCTCCTCCCCAAAAACTAACAATACCAGATTTGTTTTGGAGCGCAGTTTTGCATCACATCAATGTCCGCACATCTACTGTCACAAAAACATGAGATTTTCCCATGGGAAGAGAATTTTCGGTTAGTTTGGTTAGTTTGTTTTTTTTCATTTAAAGGTGCACTGTGTGACTTTTCTGGTGGATGGCCTGTCAAATGCTTTTCTCTGGAGATGTTATTGTTTTGAATGGAATGTTTCACAGTATGGCATTAAACCTTTCTGTCGTCATGGTGAGCAAACCAGACCAAGTTACAGGTCAGATCTGTTTTTTCTAGGTATTTTTCAGTTCCATTCTTCATTTTTTAAAAGCAGCTGTAATTGAATAAATGTAAAGTAGATCTGTTTAATATCAAACTGGAGCAATGACCTATCCATAGAAACAAGCAGGTGACGAACCCCCAACCAAAAAGTTACATAGTGCACCTGTAAACACTGGTTCGTTGCAGGTGATGTCATCAAAATTCCCTGAGGGGTGGAGCTAACTGGGGGCACTGCTCTGTCTGGAGCACTGTTACTCAAATCAAGCCCAATTTATGGTCATGCATCAAATCATCTGCGATACTTTGTGTAAGGGGTTAAAGGTGACGTAGACTCTCTGCGTTGCCTTCATGTGCACCTCAGAAATTTTGTAACTACGCATTGAACCGACACAGACAGCAAGGCAAAACGATGCAGACAAGAAGGGCTGTGATTGGTCTTCTCTACATCCCCTCTACATACTTTTCTTGTACTCCGCTTTCCCACTTCATTTTGTCTACACAAACGCAAACCTAGCCTCCTAGCGTTGTGGTGGTGAATTACATCACAGCCTATAGACCTCAGTGTAGATCCATAAATCAAAAACAATGGTGATAAGGTGACGGCGGCAGTGTGCATTGAATAGATGCAGAAATATAATAATTAGGCCTTTAGACTTTAATCTGTGTGCTGTTTTTACCATAGACTGTATATACTAGTAAATGGACATAACTAACCCACTCGCCGCCATGTTACACACAGGAAGTGAGCATGGACACGTTTCTGGCTCCATCGACTCTGGCTCCAATTCACTTTGTATTAAAAAAGCGTGGCCCCTCTTTCTGTAACTCCTTATTTTGGTCTTGAAATGTTCATATTCACCAACTTTACAAGATCCTGGTGTTTTTATTTTGCAATTTTGTCCATAAATCGATTTCTATTCGTAAAATGTAACTCAGCTCCTAAAACTACTTGCCTCAATGAGCTTCATTTGACTGGAACCAAACAACGTGGGTGACGTCACACTCCCTTAGTCCACTTCTTTATACTGTCTATGGTTTGAACACAATCTGACCATACATGATCATGACCGGAGCTACAACAGGCGAGCTGATTTGTGCTGAAGTCTCTCTCGAATAACATTACAACCACAACTTTTAAGATGGTAGAACTTATCAGGCTGTTTTGCGAATGTGTGCATTGTGTCACCATGGCAACAGCTGAACATTCCTCCATAGACTTACACGACGTTTCTCCCATCAACAAAAGCGTGCAAAAGTAGTCCCAGTAAAAGTAGTCCCGATCAAGACTAGCTTGAAATTTAGAGATGGGTCCCTGGACGCCGTACTGGGTCAAATGCAGAGGGCAAATTTCAAATACATTTCTAAATAGTTAAAATATTATATAAAATGCAATCTATTACACAAAATTACAAACTTACTGTCTTTGCCTCTCTTACTGATTTACTCTTATTGTACCACACATTATATTACACAAAATGACTGACATGTTTTAATGTTGTTACCTCATCACAAACACGCCTGGACTTGTGTTTTGCTTCATTCACATGTTTCAGTAACCCTCTTTCTGCTATGTTCCACCTTGTGATGTCGTGAAATGGTAGTTTTCAAGTTAACAGCTCCTTTTACCTTTCGTTCAGTAGAGATTGAAAATTCCAGGGCTGAAATTATCCAAATGATTCTAGTGAAGATGTATGGAGTTAAAAACAAAAGTGTTTTCTGTTTGAGAGAAGAACTCAGCCTAAATATTCAGGGTTTGTGTGTTTAACATGTGTGAATGAAACAAAATACAACTGCAGGTCTATTTGTGATGAGGAAAATAAGAAAATAGTGTAATATGGATGGACCCTTTAATTAGTCGACTAGTCAAATGATTATTTCGATGGTGCAAACTTTTAAAATCATTTTTTAACCAAATAAATATTGAAATGTGATGACTGAAAGCTTTTATGTAAAGCATATTCACAAATTAAATGTATTCGTAATAGATGAATCACGTAACTTTTCTAGTGAATGGTCTGTCAGTTTCATGTCTCCATGGTGATGATATTGCTTTGCCTGGACCGTTACACAGTATGCTGTTTTTTCTTCCGTCTATTTAATTACAGCAATTTTATTGCTCAAAAATACCTTGCAAAAATATGAATTCTTACTATTATATGAGCAAACTCGCCTCTCCATAGATCTTACCTGCATCTTGTCTCTATGGAAATAGCTTAGGTTTAGTGTCAAATATTGGGACATACCAGGTAAATCAATCCCCATGGAGACATGCAAGTGACAGACCTTCAAGCAGAAATATAATACATAATACAGTTTTAATGAAAATCAAAAATTGTTAATTAATAATACAAAATTTTATATATATATATATATATTATATTTTTTTTTGTTTTTGTTTTTGTTTGTTTGTTTGTTTTTTCTTGTGTTGTTTCCTCATCACAAACAGACCTGGAGTTGTGTTTTGTTTCATTCACACATTTAACACACAACCCCTGCATTTTTAGGCTATTTAGGTTCTTCTCTCAAACAGAAAACACTCTGTTCCACCTTGTGATGTCACATTGTAATACCAGAAGTGCTCCACTGTGTTTTTAAACTCCCCACACCTTCACTAGAATCATTTGGATCATTTTAGTCCTGGAATTTTTGCTCTCTACAGAACTAAAGGTAAAAGGAGCTGTTAACTTGAAAACTACTACATCATGGCATCACAAGGTGGAACAGAGCATTTTGAGCTTTGGAGATGTAGACAGAGTAATAATAAAGGATTACTCCAGGTATGTTTTTGAAGAGGCTTAAAGCTCACAAGAGTCAATTTTGCGTAGTATATACGTAGTATATAGACCTTTAAACAGTGCTGAAATGCCACTGTGTTTGCGTTTCAGAGTTCAGATAACACTTCCGATTATCAAAATCCAACTACAATCACATTTATTATCATTTAGTCATTATCCGATTAATCGCCACTGCCCTTAAAGCTCACAAGAGTCAATTTTGCATGGTATAGGACCTTTAAAAAGTGCTCAAATACCATTGTGGTTGTGTTTCAGAGTCCAGATAACACTTCCGATAATGAAAATCCAACTACAATCACATGTATTATCGATTAGTCCGCATTATTCGATTTATCGCAGCTGCCCTTAAAGCTACAAGAGTCAATTTTACGTAATATAGGACCTTTAAACAGTGCTGAAATGCCACTATGTTTGCGTTTCAGAGTCCAGATAACACTTCCGATTATCAAAATCCAACTACAATCACGTTCATTATCGATTAGTCTGCGTTATCCGATTAATCGCTGCTGCCCTATAGTACACACATCTCCTCAGCCCTTGGGAATGTCGTGAGTATCCGGAGATGCCATTCCAAAGCAGCTAGACAAGCTTTTGACTGTGACTCACGACGGCTCGCTGGCCTCACGCTGAGATACAAACCCACCTCCGAACAATAGAAGTCAAAAGAAGCCCAAACTCACCCAAGACCTTGAGGAGCTCGTCAAAATTTTCACTACTCTTCATCTTCCAGGTCCCGGAGAAGTTGGGCATGGTGGTCCCCGGTGTGAGCGTGTGCTGAGTGGAAAGCAGAAAAGCCGGTGGAGATGTGGGGGTTTGAGAGTCTGTAGCCTCCTCTCTTCCTCCTTCTGTGTGTGCGTTGGGTCCCTGGATCTGTCTCTCCTCTGCTCTGAGCTTACAACCCACTCTCTCTCTCTCTCCTCTCTCTCTTTCTCTTGTCTTTCCGTTCTCTCTCTCTCTGTGCACTCCATATAGAAAAGGACCCTCCCACTTTGAGACATATGCAACTCAATGCAACTCATGTTTCCCCCCTCGCTCTTTTCTCTCTTTGTATCTATTTTCTCTCTCCTCTCACTCTCTTTCTCTCTTTCAGTCTCTCTCTTGTCTCTTATGGTTCTCTATATCTCCTTTCTACCTCCCTCTCTTTTGCTCTCCAGTCTCTCTCTCTCACCTCTCTGTCTCTCCTCTCTCTTTCTCTCTCCTACCGCTCTCCTCACTTTCTCTCTTCTCTCCTCTCACTCTTCTCTTGCTCTCTCCTCTCTCTCTCCTATCTCTTTCCTCTCTTTTTCTCTCCTTTCTCTCTGTCTCTCTCTCTCCCCACTCTTCTGCTTCTCTTTCTTCTCTCTCTCTTGCTTCTCTTTCACTCTCTCTGCTCCTGTAGTATGTACTACTCTCTCCCCTCTCACTCTCCTTTCTATCTCCTTTCTCTCTCCTCTCTTTCTCTCCTCTCTCGCTCTTGCTTCTCTTTCACTCTCTCTCTCTCTCCTCTTTCTCCCCTCTCTCTCCTATCCCTCTCCTTTCATTCTTTCTCCTCTCTCTCTCTCTCTCTCTTTCTCCTTTTTCTCCACTCTCTTTCCACTCTCTCTCCTCTCTTTCTCTCTTCTTTCTCCTCTCCCTCTTGCTTCTTTTTCATTCTCTCTCTCCTCTCTCACCTATCTCTTTCCTCTCTTTGTCTTTCCTCTCTCTACTCTCTCTCTCTCTGTGCACTCTATATGGAAAAGGATCCTCCCACTTTGAGACAACTCAGTGCAACTCATGTACTAGTGTTTGCCCCCTCTCTCTCTTTTCTCTCTTTGTATCTGTCTTTTCTCTCTCCTCTCACTCTCTTACTCTCTTTCAGTCTATCTCTCGTCTCTTGCAGTTCTCTATAGCTCCTCTCTCTGTTCCTGTTGTGCACTCTCTCTGGATCAGGACCTTCCACTTTGAGATAATGCAGCTTGTGCACTCATGTTTGCTCTGATGTCATGTGGTAATACAGAAAGTGCTCCACTGTGTTTTTAAACTCTATAATGACATTATTTGGAATTATTTGGATAATTACTGGCTAATTACTACTACTACTACTGCTACTACTACTACTAGTGCTACTATACAACTCTGCTTCCCCTAGAGATGAAAACATTGTAGCACATAAAATATTCATTCATTTTCTATATTGCTGCTGTCCTTGAACTGAACTTGACTCTATAGGAGATCTGCTGGGAACACACCAGTGTGTTTCTCTATTTCTATAATGCAGCTAGAAAATCCTAAAGTCCTTAAATGCACCATCACTTTTACTTTACTGTTGGTAGTTTTGGGTAGAATCCTTATCATGGTATTAGCTGCTCGTGCATGTTTCGATAAATACAAAAACTTTAGTCATCAAAGTGAAATCAAAGAATAAATAAATGCATGAATGTAGTTTAAGAAAAAAAACAAAAAAAAAAAAAACAATGAAATGAATCAAATGAAACTCACCAAGGCTAGCAGTTATGGGGTGAAAGAGGGAGCTTGTCTGTTATTTAGGTTCATATATTGATCATATTGATGGAAAAAAAGTGAAATAAAAACCCCAGGATCATGTAGAGCGGGTTGATGGTTGATATGAACAGGAGCCTGACATCAGCAGTTACAGAGAGAGAGGCGACGTTTTTTCAATATGTATACAGCCTGTGGTGAAAGCAAGCTGATGTAAATCATGAATAATGTAATGTAGTTTGTCTTTATTTAGATATTCAGCCAATGTAGACATGTAGAAAAAACAAGACATTACTCCTTCTCAAGCTCTTTTCTCTTTTAGCCTGTACTCTTTCCAGTTTTTTCCACACAAAAAAAAAAAAAAAAAAAAAAAACATGCTGTGAACCTTCAGTTGTTGGGGCGGCAGTGGTCCAAGTCAGACTGACTGAAACGCGGCTGCTAATTGGCGCCATTGGTCCCTCCGACCACCATCACTCATGCAGACATCACTTTCATACTTACATTTAAGGTGAGAGGATCAAAATCCACTCAGAGCAACCAAGTAAGTTCTATCTTTGTGTCCTTAGGCAAGACACTTTACCCAAATATGAATGTGGTATATGAGTGAGTGTTGGTGGTGGTCACTGAGGGTGATGGTACAGATTGGTAGCCTTGCTTCCATCAGTTTGCCCCAGGGCAGCTGTGGTTACAATAGTAACTTACCACAAGAGTGGTGTGTGTGTGTGGACATGGGTTTGAGTGACACACTGAAACAGCAAATACATCATTAAACAATGTACAGTGCAAATGGAATTTTTACTTTTTTTTTTTATTGTAAAAAGTTGTGTATTGAGTGTGACTCTTCCTTTTGTGTAGTGTTGGATGTAACATCAAACAGCTGTTCCCCTCCACTGTTCCATGTAAAATAAATATGCTTTTGTTTCTGCCTGGTTTTTGTCACTTTTGTCTGTCATTTTTTGTAGTATTAATTTTAAAAATGTTTACTCTGTGTAACAAAATGCTCAAATCAAATTTAATGAAAACACGATTGTCGCAGAGATTTACATTTATGCTCAGCTGTTCTGAAGGCTATGTCAAAAACCATAAAGGTGAAGAGCGGGTGTGCAGCAGAACGACACTTCATTAATACACTCGTGTGTGTTTTAGGTTGCTTTCCAAACCTCTTGAGCTTAAGGAGGTCTGAGCGCTCCAACAAAAATGCTTTTGGGGAAAATAAAAAGCGTGGTTCAGAGTAGGACAGAGACTTGAACTGGTAGAGTCCTTGAGTTTGGAGTGCACTGCTCCCATTAGAACTGTGTTTACTGTTAATTGATTTTAATGGGCTTTTGGGGTTTGGAGTTTGTGCGTCTGAGTGAGTGTGCTGGAGTCTATCCAAAACAACAGCCAAAAGACATGCAAATAAACACATTCATTCAGTTGTTTAAAGGAGTTCTAGCTGATTTTTACTCTCTTAAACTTGTGAATTGTCCCAAGTTATTCCTTACTTATCTTGGTGAATAATTAGAATGCTCTTAACAAACAACATAAAAATGAGTTTATAAGCGCTGTTCACAACTCTCAGACAGCACACCTTTTGCTCAAATATGTGGAAAAATCAGGTACAGGCTGATTTGTCTTTAGTTGGATGAAGAGGAAGTGTTAATTATACTGTAAGCCAAAAGACCTCCACAAATGTGACACAATTAAAGACCACCTCACCATATTTATTGTTTTATTTTCATTTTACTTTTCTATCATTTCTCTGGAGTTGTGTTTTGTTTCATTCACACATGTTTAACACACTAACCCTGCAGATTTAGGCTGTGTTCTTCTCCCAGACAGAAAAAACAAAACAAAAACACTCTGTTCCACCCTGTGATGTCATGTGGTAATACAAAAAGAGCTCCACTGTGTTTTTAAACTTCATACACCCTCACTAGAATTTTTTGAACAAGCTGAACAAAACATAAAAACACTACATGACATCACAAGGTGGGACAGAGCTTTTTGAGCTTTGGAGATGTAGACAGACTAATATTATACGGTTACTAAATAAAACCACAACTCCATAGAAAAGTTACGCATCAATTCTGTGGAAAAGCAACTCTTCTCATAAGAAATAATAATAAAGTTTTCAAGACAGTCTCGATCTTGTCCTTTTCTTGGAGGTGCTTGGTCTCAATCTTGTCTCAGTCTTGAAGGTGCCTGGACTCGATCTTGTCTTGGTCTTGAAGGTGCTTGATCTCGATCTTGTCTCGGTTTTGAAGGTGCTTGATCTCGATCTTGTTTCGGTCTTGAAGGTGCCTGGAATCGGTCTTGTCTCGGTCTTGAAGGCGCTTGGAGTCGATCTTGTCTCGGTCTTGAAGGCACTTGGACTAGATCTTGTCTTGGGTCCTGAAGACACTTGGACTAGATCTTGTCTCGGTCCTCAAGATGTTTGGACTCGGTCTTGTCTCGGTCTTGAAGGCGATTGGACTAGATCTTGTCTCGGTCCTGAAGGTGCTTGGACTCGATATTGTCTCGGTCCTGAAGGTGTTTGGACTCGGTCTTGTATTGGTCTTGAAGGCGCTTGGACTCGGTCTTGTCTCGGTCTTGAAGACGCTTGGACTCAATCTTGTCTCGGTCCTGAAGGCACTTGGACTAGATCTTGTCTCGGTCTTGAAGGTGCTTGGACTCGGTCTTGGCTCGGTCCTGAAGGTGCTTGGACTCGATATTGTCTCGGTCTTGAAGAAGGTTTTGGTCTTGACAACAATACTACTAACTACTGTATATATAAAAGATGACAAAATCAAAATGACGATCTTCTATGGGGATGTAACAGTAACCAAAATAACCAATAGTTTAAAAAAAAAAACAGAGGGAACTACATAGACCATGATCCTTTGCTCCGTTTCAGTGTAGACTACATGAAGAAATAACAGTTCTAAATTTTAAATCACATTTTTTGGGGTTAAGTCTTGTCAAGGCATTTTAAGAGGAAAAAGGAGCATACTCACGGTTTTGTTAGTCAAAAATGAAAACAATAATGATGAAAACGTGATGAAAACAATCAAAATAAATAAGTCTGAAATCTAAAATTACAGAAATATTATAATAAGGCTTTAAAGTAGTGACCTGAAATGTTGTTAACAATGGAACGTAGTGACCTAAAATATAGTTAATAATGGAAAAAATATAGGTAATCCTTAAAACAAAGACAAATCTTAATGTATAAAAACATAATTCAGTACACAAAAAAAGAAATCCACTGTTATCGTTACATCATTGGCGATCTATAGGCTCTCTGGATCCAGCACGCACACTTGTATAAGCCCGTATCCTCGCGTGCTTAGGGTTCCTCTGCTCATGTTTGTGCAAATTAGCTTCGATGACAACAGAAGCATGTCCTGATTTCATGCAGTCACTTCATTTAACCTGAAAATACATACGCCCGGCTCAGAATAGCATCCATTATGAAGGCCCAGAGCAGTCACTTTAAATCCTCATGTGAACCTATGGAGGGAGACGTGGTGCGTACTGAGGCATGCGTGTGCGAT